GACCAAATTGCTAACATGTGCTGGATTATGGAGAAAGCCAGAAAAACATCTACTTCTGCTTCATTGAATATGCAAAAGACTTTGTGTAGACCACAGGAAACTATGGCAAGTCCTTAAAGAAATGGGAGTGCCTGACCATCTTATCTAGCTCCTGAGAAACCTATACATGGGACAGGAAGCAACAGTTACAACTGGATATGGAAACATTGATTGGTTCAAAATTGGGAAAGGAATACAACAAGGCTGTATATTGTCTCCCAGCTTATTTAACTTATATGCAGAATACATCATGCGAAAGGCTGGACTGGAGGAATCCCAAACTGGAATTAAGATTGCTGGAAGAAATATCAACAACCTCAGATATGCATATGATACCACTCTGATGGCAGAAAGTGAGGAGGAATTAAAGAACCTCGTAATGAGGGTGAAAGAGGAGAATGCAAAAAACAATCTGAAATGCAACATCAAAAAAACTAAGATCATGGCCACTGGCCCCATTGCTGTAGAATGAAATCGTAGTCAAGCGAACATAAAAATCCCATTGAAATGCATTGAAAACTGGTTCAGTGCGTTCCAATGGGCAAAATACCTCAGTGTCCAGCAAAGATCCTCCATAGGGTGGCCATTTTCCGGTGCCTGTAAAGCGAGGAATCCATCCTAAAACACAGTGGGGAGCCATTATGAAAACCCGACGATCAGCTGTTTTGATTGTCGCTAAGCCAAAAATTGTTTCCCGAAGCAGGGAACTGATTATCATGAAGTGATTTTTCCCTATTAAAACATTGTTTTGTGATCGCAAAAACGATTGCAAAAACTTCGTTAAGCGATTTCCTCATCTAACGAGGTAATCGTCAAGCGGGGAATTGTTGCTAAGCCAAAAATTGGTTCCCGAAGCAGGGAACTGATTATCGTGAAGTGATTTTTCCCTATTAAAACATTGTTTTGTGATCGCAAAAATGATTGCAAAAACTTCGTTAAGCGATTTCCTCATCTAACGAGGTAATCGTCAAGCGGGGCACCACTGTATAGTGAAACAGAAAGCTGTAGAAAAGATGATGCACAGCAAGGCCATATTGGGAACACATTAATAACATTGTGATGAAATTTTTTTGCATACATATTTTTTCTGCTTTATAATTCAGCAGTTTCTCTCTTCTAGGCATTTCAAAAGCAGCAACAGACCACTATGAATACTATAAATGAGTTAAACCAGAAGATTACGGCAAGTATGGTTAAAGTTCTTACATAGATTCGCATCTGAATATTGAGTAGACATGGTACTGACTAGACAGTCCAGTTCTCCAGGCCAGGATTGGTCCTATCCACGTGCAAAAATCAACCACACCACACTTCAAGCAACTCTGTTTAGAAAGATCTAGACTGATATTTTCCTTTAAAAGGAAATAACCCTCCCTCCCATCTCATCTTCTATGCTTTTCTTGAGCTACTTAGTGATATTTGGAAATGGGAGACTTCCTTTCTGCTCCCCTGAGAAGGGGAAAGAAAATGAATTATTCTGTTTTCTTTTAGCTGTTGCTAACCAAAACAATGTATCAGCGATGCTTTGAAAAGGTTTTTGAAAAAGCCCTTTCAGAGGATCACTAATGAGTAAGCAACAATAAGGGAAACATTTCTGTCTCTTCCTGTCTGCAGGTAAGCAGCCAGGAAGTTTTCAATTTCTCTAAATCGTTAAGTGTCTTCAGCAAGAGGACAATCAGGCAGCCGCTTTGGTTTGATCCTAGCAATAACACACACTGGAATCAAACCAAAATGATGCAATCCTACCTGGACCAAAAACAAAAGACAAAATCAGTAGCCCCCGACAGGGGCCCAAAAAGGTGTGGATAGACATCAATCATGGCAGGCTGCTTTGCAGCGGCACGTACATCATGTGGTCATCAAAAAAGGGAGTAAACCAGCCTGTCCCCAACCTGGACCAAACTGCAGGATAAATGCCCGCCTGATCGCAACCTGAGTCCCAAGCAAGTATTTCGTATCCCTGCTTGACCAAAACATTTGTCCGAAGCCCATCGGCAACTTGTGGGCTGTGACATGTGGCCCTCGGTTGCTCTCTGCCTGGCCTGCAGCAGGGATGGACCAGGCTGCTCTTTGACACTAATAAATGTGGCAGTAAAATGCCATCTGATGGCTGGAGAGGGAAAGGGCACTGCACAGAATTTATTCTGGGCCGTTAGGCAACTCTGGAATCTACAAGTATATGCCCTTTTAGAGAAACGATTGTGCAGTTGTTATGAGAGAATGCATGTGCATTTGTATTTTGATGACCATAGTAATAAAAAACAAGCAAACAGTGTTCTTTGGCTAGAGATGTGTCGTGCATTGTTGGCCAACTCTGCATTATGTACCTGTGCAGAGTGTGGCCTTTTAAGCAGGAGCGCCTCACTCTGAAGACTCTTTGCAAACATAATTTGTCTGCCGTTGTCATATATTTGAAAAAATGAACACAAAAAGAGTTTTCTGTAGCTTGTGATCTTGTTGTTGTTGCACCAATTTGAAAAAATTCTACAATGACATTTAAAAATGGTTAACAAATGAAGTAGTGCTTTTTCAGTGTATGCCTGCTGGAATGGCCTTCTTCAAGTTGTCATAAGTGATCCTGCTTCCTGACCATCTCTCTCTCTCTCTCTCTCTAGCTTTCTTTCTTACTTTTATTTATATTGTTAAAATAATAAGTAAATAAAGCTATATATTATATGGTTTACATAAAAACACTTTTCTGGCTTTGTGTCAGATGAAAGGAAGGACAAGCTGGTAGGTGTTTTATTCTTTACTCATCGTTTCTTTTATTGTATTAAGTTGCTTTACACCCATGCTCTCATCTGTTTTGGAGAAGTTGTGAAAATGTGAGATTTTTAAAAATAAATAAATTAATGAATTAAAACTCTTTGGGTTTTGTGCATTAAGAGTCTGGAGACAGAATTAAATGAGAAGAATGAGACTTTGAACGCCATTGCTTCGTCTCTTCACAACACAGAGCTGGAACTCCGGAATGAGGTGAATATGGAACAGCTGATTCCCAAGATTTTGAAAACAAAAAATTGGTAACCTTCATCAAGTGGTAGTTGGGACAGAAGCAGAGGATTTATTTACATGTTGCAGTTAAGACTTAATTCTTCAAAAAGCCTCTGGTTTGTGAATGTGGGGATATTGTGCTTCTGTACCCAATGATTCAGGACATGGCTGCACAATATCGTACCCATGTTGCCAGGGGAAATAAGGATGCAGAGTTTTACATATCCAAGGGCAGCCTGAATGTTGACAAAACCAATGGCAGCAGTGAAGATGGTGTACGCGATACCCTTTTCTGCTCACCACCATTCACAATGTGGCACCGTGCAAGGGAAAATTCCAGAAGCTGACTCCTGATACCCTTTTCTGTTCACCACCATTCACAAAGTGGCACCATGCAAGGGAAAATTCTAGAAGCTGACTTCTTTCTTCATCTGTTAACCACTTCTCACCTAAATACAGTGGTGCCTCGGCGTTAACTTCTCACCTAAATACAGTGGTGCCTCGCATAGCGACATTAATTGGTGCAGCAAAAATCACTGCAAAGCGATTTCGTCGCTATGCGATTTTAAAAAGCCCATAGGAATGCATTGAAACCCCTTCAATGCGTTCCTATGGGCTTAAAACTGACCTTTAAGCAAAGATCCTCATTATGGTGGCCATTTTTGCTGCCCAGTAAGCGAGGAATCAGTCCCTAAACACAGCGGGCGGCCATTTTGGAACCGCCGATCAGCTGAGGAAAATCACTTTGCGATAATCGGTAAGCTAAACGGGGTACCGATCATCACAAAGCAATTTTTCCCCATTTAAAACATGGCAATGCGATCGCAAAAAATTCACCAGTATGCGATTTCGTTGTTAAACGGGGCGCCCCGTATGTGATTTCAGTGTTAAACAGGGCGCCCGTTAAGCAAGGCACCACTGTACAAAATTATTAGGGCTGTGTTTCCAGTGTGAATGGTAGTGAGCAGAAGATGGTTACAATTATTAGGGCTGTTTCCAGTGTGAATGGTAGTGAGCAAAGATGGTATCTTCTGCCATGGGTGTGGTTCCCTAGGTGCTTTGTATAATTCCCTGATTAAAATGATTGCTTGTCTTAGGCTATCTGCAACACAGGGTATAATGAACCCAAACTCTCCTGTATCTTAAGGGCAGGTCAGCAAAGTAACAGGCCATTTTCACTTCATCAGCTGACATCATATATTCTTTGTGTCCGTCAGCCACAGTTCTAGGCAGTGGTTTCCATTGGTAACGTTCCTGTATTCTTTTCACACAAAAATCATGAATGAGAGAAGATGAAATAGCTACATGTCTAGTGCCAGGATCTCTCCATTTGGAAGGACCTTTAGACAAATGAATTGCAGGACATTCTGATAACAGTTTGATATTTCAATCAAATGGGTGGTTTTCAAAATACACAGATTCCGGTTGGGCTCTGTAGCTGTGTTAAAGGTATTTTGCGAAGCCTTCTGCCACGGCAGAACAAGCTAGGTAGATATGACCTAACTTCCTCCTCTTCCAAGCCAGGAGCTCACAAGTGACTAGGGAAGGACAGGTATGTCAAACCCCTCTCTGGGGATGTCTCCATGTCCTCTTCCCTGCCAGTACATCCTTGCAGGCCCTTTAAAGGGGTAGGACAGCAACCCCACGACAGAACCCCTGCACTGCCCAGAGAAGGCCCCAGGTTGAGTTCTCCTCATCCTCAGTTTTTAAAGGGTTCCCAGATAACACTGGTGGTGGTGGTGGGACACCCACCCACCCCGTCCTCAGATTGCCAGTAAGAGGGGGCAGTCCTTGGAAGTAGAGTGACCAGTGGCTTCCTAGGCTCTCCTCTTTTCTAGTCCAGCCCTTTTTTCCTTTCTTCTCTGCAGAAAGCCAACTTGCTAGAGATGGAGAAAATGATCCAGCACCGAATTGCATCAATTGAAGAGAAGCATCGGATTAATGTTGCTTCTTTAGTGGAAGAAAATGTGATTTTGAGGTAGGCCAAAACAATCCCATCGACAGCCAGAGGGTAAATTATACTAGATCCAAGAATTATTAAATGACTCTACAGTGCAATCCTATGTATATCTTATACACAGTGAGCCCCACTGAACGGAAGGCAACTGACTCCCAGACAAGTCTATACAGGTTTACTGTAGAATTGGAGGGGTATACCGTATTTTTCGCACCATAAGACACACTTTTTTCCCACAAAATGGGGGGGTGGAAAGTCTGCGCGTCTTACGGAGCGAAGAAAACAGATTATATTTTCGTTTTCTTCTCCTAAAAAATTGGTGCGTCTTATGAAAAGGTGCGTCTTATGGAGCGAAAAATATGGGTAAGTTGAGTGGCATATTCCTTAATCAAGTTATTCAGCTTTGTTTTCACTAGGGAAATTACTTGTTACTAGTGCTGGGTCGGTTCTACAACCCTCTGAATATTCAGATTTTCTAAACCAAATTACTGTATTTCTCTGTGTATTTACATCTATTTCCTATTGTAGCCTGATCTGCTGATGTGTTTTTTTCTTTAATCCCACTCCCTCAAAAAAAAAAGCCTTCATTAAAAGCTGAGTCTCAGAATGCCACTGCCCATGATGGATGAAGTGTGGCTGACCACCATGTGGTGCAGCCAGTGAAACATTGCAGCCCTGAGCATGCATGGAAAAGCCTTGGATGTGTTACAACACTTGAAAGTGTTGTAACTAGAAGGTTTAGGTTTTAAGATCTGAGGAGTTCCTTGTCTCAGTCCCACCACTCTCACAGATGTTTGGTGAGAGAAGTGTATTTTCCAGTGGCTACTCACAGGCTGCAGAAATGCACTCCCTTGAGAGACCAGGTTGGTCCCCCACTTCTTGTCCTTTTCAGGAAGATTTTTAATTGATTTCAACAAATACGTGTAGTGACAACAGAACATAGACAAGAGTTCTAACTCCTGTCCTCTGAAGATGCTGGCCACAGACTAGTGAAATAGGAAAAAAAACCTCCAGAGTACAGCCAAACAGCCCCCAAAAAACTACAATCACCACAAGAAGTAGACCTTGGCCACTTCCCGTTTGGTGGGCTTTTAGGGAGGAGAGGTTGCAATTTCTTAGTTATGTTATAATCCAGAGTGTTCCAAGGGGGAAGGGAAGAACTGGCCCCTTAAACTTCATCAGCTAATGGTATGACATCTGTTCTTCATCTTAGACGCAAGCTTATTGAGAAGAATGAAGAACTATACAATGAACGTAGCCGAAGAAGTAGCATCTTTGAGCCACTTAACTAAGACTGCAAATGAAGAACCAGTAAGTGCTTTCCTCAGACAGGGTGGTAAGACTCCACATTTCTTCAAAAGATCCTAAACCAAATCTGTACTGTTTGTAGATTAAAAAAAACAACCAACCACCCGGACCACCTCTGTGGATGACATTAAATCAGAATTTACTGTTCATGAGACAACGCATAACCCAGGAAACCTGAACTCTTACAAACTGGCTTTAGGCTTTTGCTTAGTGACAACATGGGGGCTAGCAGAAAGCACGGGGGGGGGGAGAGCCCACCCCCATTTTAGCGTATTTCCCAACTGCAGCTTCTACAAATATAGTCCATGGGGGCTAACCCATCATGAGAGACAGTTATTTATTTTTGCAACAAGAATGCTGTTTCCGTTTTTTACCAGCTGTTATTACAAGATGTATATTCTTAAGACACAAAGTTTAAAAAGTATTTTTTAAAAATTCCTTTGAGGTAATTCTCTTTTCCTTAATTTAAAGGACCTGAGTTGCACTACTTCTGGTTCTGTGGTTACCTTACCAGAAGTTTTCAAGTCTTGTTTCATGTGCCTGCAATAGTGTGTTATAAACTGCCATCTTGATTTCCTTCCCATGCTGTAGCCGCTTGGAGATGTTCAATAAAAGTTAAGTTGAACTCAGCCGAGCTCTTCCTTCCCCTGGGACGGCAGTTTGAACACAGTGTCTGCTACATAAGGAGTATTTCTTTGTGACAGGGGGAGCCCTGCTGTTTCGGGCTTCTGATCATACAGAAAGAGCCACTTCAAGGGCTTCTTCTTTGCAATAAAACAGCTCATATTAGACTTTAAATCAGCACACCTTCTTGTGACGATAGCTCCCCGCACTGGGCTGTGGAGGGCGGATGAGAGTTGTGGCCCCAACAGGAAGCAATGCGTCACACATCGTTATAAAGTTCATTATGCGACTTACACAATTTTGATCGTGTCTATAGTTCTTTCATACGTATTGTGTTTGTGGCCGTGGCCAAGAAAAGGTTGAGAGTGGCTGATTCAGAAGGCCAGACGTTTGTTTCCTCCCACTGGACTGAGGCTCAGGGTCTCATCCCTCTTCTGCTGATCATGACAACAGCGGAGTGAGTAGCGTCAAGGCTCAGGTGGCCAAGAGGCAAGCCCAAAAGCAGACAGAGTCCCAGAACCAATCCGGGAGCCTAGAAAGTACACCAGAGGACTGTGTTTTCGGTCTACCTTGTTCCATGGGAGGTGGGCCTGAGCCAGAAAGACCTTCAGCAAAGGAAGCTTCTCCTACTGCAGCATTGTTGTGAGAGAGAAAGCAGCAATTATCTTACTAAAACATATTTTTTTTGCTCCATAAGATGCACTTCCCCCAAAAAAAATTGTGTGGGGGGGTCTGTACGTCTTATGGAGCAAAGGCCGCGATTTCGCCACCGCTGGCCCCATGGGGGAGCGTCGCAAAGGTCCGAGTGAGCCTTCCAGGATCCTTGCGACGCTCCCATCCCCCATGGGCGAAATCACTACCTTCTGGGACTCTTTTGAGGCTTGGGAAGCTTCAGAAGTCCCAGAAGGGGGCGATTTCGCCCCCTCTGGCCTCCGGGGGGGGGCTGGGTGAGCCTCCAAAGGGTCCTAGGGGGTGTTCCATAAGACGGACCTCTCCATAAGCTCACCAATTTTTAGGAGAAGAAAACAGATTATTTTGTTCCTGTTTTCTTCTCCTTAAAATTTGGTGCGTCTTATGGAGAGGTGCGTCTTATGGAGCGAAAAATACGGTAACACTTCTGTTCCATTATACTGTCTGCCAGAAATACAGCCCACAGATTAGAACCAGGTAGTGTTCCTATTCTTTTTTTCCTTAAAACAAACAGCATAATGACATTAATTGCTAAGACTTTCTTGAGAGTATGCAGTGTAAAACGCCTCTCCCCCTCCCCATTCCTTCAGAGGAGCAGCAACAGCAGGATCCAAGCAAAAGCCATTGAGAGCAAGATTCTGTTCTGAACAAGGGTTACACAGGTGCCTCTGGAAGATCACGGGCAGGACATGGAAGGATGCTCTTCCCTCCTGGTGCTTGGCAATCATTTCAAAAGCACACCACCCCTGCAGCTGGAGGTTCTTTTCAGCTACCATGACTAATAGGCGAGGTCAAGACACAGCAGGCACAAGGAGCTGAAGAAAATCCATCATGGTAAATAGGTAGCGCCTGAAGCATCACTCACACAGAGAAGCTGTGGGGTTCGTGTCAAATGTAGATGGCAGCCACCAAGTTGTGTTGGCGAAAAAGGGTTTTTAAGGCACAGGGAATATCAGTTTTTTCCTAAGGGTGTATGCTGGCTGTGGCATCTGTTTCTTCTGCCCCTGAGCAGCTGCACGTTGGCTCACATCTGCATTGACTGCTGTCAGAATGGACAAGATGTCTTCACCTCTGCAGAGAGAATGAGTTAAAAGGAAAGTCTCAGTTCAACTACCACATTTCCAAAAGAATAGCTGCATTAGCTGTTGCAGCTAAAAACAACAGAGTTTTGCAGAACCTTCAAGAGTGGCAAGTTTCATTTGGCACAAGGTTTCGTATGCTGCATTTGTAAGGGGGGACACAATCTCTCCCAAAACTTCTGCCAACTAAACCTGTTAACTCTTTAACGTGCCACAAAACTGTTTACTGTGTTTGCATACTTATTTTGGTATGACATGTTCCTATTTGCCTTAATATGAAACAAGATGCAATATCAAAAAAGGAAAAGCACAAAATATAGTCCTAATGACCTTGAGACTGGTACCTTGAGACATGGATGGAGAGAGAGAACTGTATTTACTGCTGATCATCCACAGCAGCAGAACACAGACGTGCGCACACAATCAGAAAAAATGATTCCACCTCTCTCTTTGTGCATCCTCAAAGCTAGCAGGAAGCTGCTCATATAATGGTCCCCAATGTGCTTGTAACTGCACAGCTGAGCATCCATTTGCCTTATCAGGACAACATCTCTTGCAGTTGGATTACTGCTGGCTGTGCTAACCATCCATCTGATCAGAGGACAGGTAACTTGATACTGTACGGCAGTGGTTCCTCAAGTGTTCTTGGACAGGAACTCCCAGAAGCCTTCACCACCACTCATGCTGGTCAGGATTTCTGGGAGTCATAGTCCAAGAACCTCTAGGGGACCCAAGGTTAGGAACCACGGCTGTGTGGAATGGAGTCATTCTAGCTAGGCTGGGGCATCACTCACTTTGTGATGAGGAAGTAAGGAACTGGGAATAAGTACACGCACATGGACTCTTCTTTCAACACATCAAGGACTGCTTCTGCACTGACTTCTCAGAAGTTGCCTCTGCACTCTGGGAGAGTGCAGAGGCAGCACATAAAGAATCAGGGCCATCCTATGGGGTATGTATTTGGTAAGTGGGGATACAGTGGGGTCTCGACTAACGAACGACCCTACTTGCGAACAATTCAACTTACGAACCTGCCCTATAGGGGAAATAAGGACTCAACATACGAACTTCCCTAGAGTTACGAACAGGAAAAAAAGTGCCCCCTCCTTCCCCTTAGAGGATTCTGGAGGGGGGGAAAAGGTGAGAAACTTGAAAATAAATAAAAGAAAGTCACTTACCAGGCCTTGGTAGGCCCTAAACAGCAGGAAAAAGAGCAGGAAACAGCTAAAAGCTGACACCCAGAAGGGAGCCTGGCAGCCATTTTGTGCTTCCCCCCCCTCCTGCCCTCTCCTCTCCCCGCCTATCAGCTGATCGGCTGGCTCTGAAGAGGCTTGGGGAGGCTTGCTCAGCATATGTATTTGGTAAGTGGAGATATGCTGCTCTTGGCTACGGCCGTTTTGTTCTGCTCATACGGTTAATGGGCAATCTCCAGGAGGGTTTGTCCACTGCTTAAAAATAAAAGTCTTGAACTACTGATTATGTTTTCTTACTGGACTTGTCAAACTGGGAAAAACAGAAAACACACACATACACCAACCTACCCCTCATATGGTTTAAAGGAAGGCATGAACCAGAGGAGATGGCAGAGTAGATCCAGCTACTACAGTGGGGTCTTGACTTACGAACATTCTGGAGGGGGGGAAAAGGTGAGAAACTTGAAAATAAATAAAAGAAAGTCACTTACCAGGCCTTGGTAGGCCCTAAACAGGAGGAAAAAGAGCAGGAAACAGCTAAAAGCTGACACCCAGAAGGGAGCCTGGCAGCCATTTTGTGCTTCCCCCCCCTCCTGCCCTCTCCTCTCCCCGCCTATCAGCTGATCGGCTGGCTCTGAAGAGGCTTGGGGAGGCTTGCTCAGCACCTAAAAAGCCTGCCTGTGTGTCTTTATGCTGAAAAAATCAGCACATGTTTTAAAACATGCTTTAAAATTGGCTTCGTTTCCAAAGTGCTTTGCAAACTGTTCCCTGCCTCCCCCCTCCTTTCCTGAACCTAAGGAAAAAAAAGAAAAAATTATCCCCCTCTAGTGGCAGAAGGCGGAATAGCAGCTTCCCATTAGTTTCTATGGACAGAAAAGAGCAGATACAGATTAAATTGTTTTCAATGCATTCCTATGGGAAATGCAAATTCGACTTACGAACTTTTCGACCTACGAACCACCTTCCAATACGGATTAAGTTCTTAAGTCGAGACCCCACTGTACACAGGAAAATAAAAATAGGGCTACTCTCGTTTCACATACTAAACCATCAGGGATGCCACATGTCATGAATCTGGACCTGGATCCTGCCCTGGACATCACACTGCTGGTTCCCCCTCTTGGCTGAGAACAATGGGGGTGGCGTGTGTCCAGTTTAGGGTTTTCTCATTTCAGCCAGAGCCCCAGACAGGTCAGCAGGGCGCTCATGGAAGTAATTAAGTACTCTTCACGAGACAGCTTTTGACCCAATAAATAGGCAGCCGCTGCATCATCTTCTGTACCATTTTCTAATGGAAGCAGGAGCCATGTCCGTGTTATCTGGTACCCTATGCCAACTAAAATGAAGCACAAAGGCTGCTGGGTCCCCTCTGGGAGAAAGACCGTGCCACACAGCAAGTGCACCCTGGACAGTAGAGAGTGGCAATGGCCAGCCCAGCCCATGAAGCCTTCCGGCTGGTGCCACCTGGAAGACAAAGTCTGTAATTTCCCACTTGCCATAGATTCAGAAGAGGTAGCCACGTACGTCTGTGCTAGCATATCAGGCAAAAACAAAATAAAAATATAGACAAAAACACTGCAGCACCTTAAAGACTGTGTTACGTGCTGTCAAGTTGGAACTGACATACAGCGACTCTAACAGGGCTTTCAAGGGAACCGAGCTATTTAAGGAGGGACTTTATGAGTTCCACTCCCCCAGTAAGTTTATATTTCAATGTCAGTCTGAGGAAGTGGGACTTATTCCATGAAAGCTCACATTAAAATATAGCAGTTAAGTCTTTAAGGCGCCACAACATTTTTGTCTTCTTTATTTTATTTTTGCCTGATATGCTAGTTTTCTACTAGGTCCTCTCAGATGCTGCACAAAAAGGTCTGAGGGTTGGTTTCCCATTCCCATTGCAGACTGATGGAAAAGCGATACCAAGTTTCTTGGCAACTTAAATGTAAGGGGTGTTTTGAAAACACATATATACTCTTCAAATCAAAGACCAGAACAGGACTCATGTTGGCTTGGGATTCTAGTAGCTACTACAGAAAAAAGTCAACATTTCTGAGCTCGGATGCGTTTAAGGGGCACCTCCTCCCATTTCAACCTGTCCTTGCTTTAAAAACAGCTTGGAGCTGCTTCATGTATCAGAGGCAAGTTCCAGAAGAGAGGAAACAGCTTTTAGGGCACTGATGCCCCAGCTAAACTCCCTAAGGAAGCTCACCTGTTAAAATATTTTATCAGAAGGCAAAGAAGTTGTTTCCCCCTAGTTTTATTAATTCATTGTAACTGCAAGGATTCTTATCTGCTGCTTTGTGATATACAGTGGTGCCTTGACTTACGAACGTTTTGAGTTACAAATAGCTCCAGGTGCGAAATAATGCTTTGAGTTATAAACTGTGTCTTGACTTGCAAACAAACAAAAACTTTCTTGCCCTTTTTTTGACCTAAGTTCATCTCAGGTCAAAAGAAGAAGAAAAATTCTCCCCCTAGTGGTAGAGTACGGATTAACCAGCTTTGCATTAGATCCTATGGGAACTAATGAATGGCTTGACTTAAGAACGATGCCTTGACATAAGGTCAAAAAACAGCCGGAACGGATTAATCTGTTTTCAATGCATTCCTATGGGAAATGCTGCTTTGACTTAAGAACGTTTTGACTTACAGCCACCGTTCCAATACGGATTAAGTTCTTAAGTCGAGGCACCACTGTACTGTACACAGTTCTTAAGTCCTGATAAGAAATGGGTTTGACTTAAGAACGGTGCCTTGACATAAGGTCAAAAAACAGCCGGAACGGATTAATCTGTTTTCAATGCATTCCTATGGGAAATGCTGCTTTGACTTAAGAACGTTTTGACTTACAGCCACCGTTCCAATACGGATTAAGTTCTTAAGTCGAGGCACCACTGTACTGTACACAGTTCTTAAATCCTGATAAGAAATGGGGCAAATCTTTTTCAATCCTCCCTAACGCCTTCTGAGCACTGATTCACTGGGAGATGGCAGTGAGGAATTGTTCCCCCATGAGAAATGCTGGATAGCCCAGTGAGGTTTAAGTATTTGGTTTGCGGAGCCAGAAGCTGAGAGTTTGAGTCCCCACTGGGCCTTCCTTGACAGGGTCTCTTCCAGCTCTGAAGTTCTATGACGGCGGCGACACATTAAATTAGCAGAAGGAACACAATGGATTCTATCTTTTGTAGTCAGTTAAAACTGATGTATTTCCTAACCACTTATGCATACGTACTCGGCATTTTTACAAAAATATCAAATGCAAATGGTAGCGGAAAGGCTACCTGTGTCATAAAGATTACCTTGGCACCAGATCCCGCAGCTTCTTACAGAGAGACTGAATGTACCAGGAGCCCTGATAAATGTGACGGAAAGAGAGATAACCATCCACCGTGGCCATGCCAAGGAGAAAATCTGCTTCTGCTGGAATACTCATTGTGGGGACAAATCCTGAAGCTTGTGCATCTGCTCCAAGTGTGGCAGGACTGTTGTTGTCTGTGTCAAGGAAGAAGGGTGCCTGTATCTTTTCACCCTGGCACGCTTGGATGAAGAACAGTTTGGGTTTTTTTGCCAGGAAGGGACACCGGTTGGCGGTGAAGTACGACATGATGGCACGGATTGAAATTTTCTGTTCATCTGTTCCAAAAATCAATCCAGACTCCCCGTGAGACAGAATGCAGCACACCAGACAATCCCTGTCCTTCAAGCAGTCAGAGGATTGCCACTGCTTTAAAAGTTCTTCCATCCCTTTGGCCGTCTGGTCCTTATAGGTCGTCACTTCTAGCCCAAGCCATGTAAATACACGTTCCAGTTCCACTGTTGGACAGAGGCAAGGAAAGGTATTGTGGTTCAGAATGAGAAGACCAAAAAAATAGAGACAAAGACAAGGGTTCAGGGTGCGTAAAAAACAAAACTGAAAAGAAAATCATTTTTTAAAATTTAAATTGTCAAAAAATTACTAATTTGCGGGTTTAAACCAAATTCACTCTGCAAGGGTGGGGTGCGCAAAAAACGAAACTGAAAAGAAAATCAGTTTTTACATTTAAATTGTCAAAAATTTACTAATTTTGGGGTTTAAACCAAATTCACTCTGCAAGGGTGCCAGTTCCATTCAAAGTTATTCGTTGATCTCAGAATCTACAGACAGAGATTCTTTTAGTTATCGGCACTCTTTCATGATAAGTTATTCTGCTCTAATTACTAATATATTTTAGTAATTCTTTTGACACTACTTTCCCTTTTGGTAATTCAAAGGGGTGACTGTACAGGCATTTGTCTTGCTGTTTGGTCTGCTACTGAGGATGGGCTGGCTTGCTCTTTTTGCCGGCAATCAGTTAATATAATTGCTAAAGCAACCTAACTTGCCTGCAATCAGACAACACAATTGCCAGAGCAAATCAGCCAGTCCGCAAAGCCTTCCTACCCACACTTTCTGCAGTCCCTTTCAGGGGAGACTTTTTTAGGTACATGCAGGATTGCTCCGTTTTGGTTCAATTCCAGCCCGTGTGATCAAAGGTACATGCAGGATTGCTCTGTTTTGGTTCAATTCCAGCCCGTGTGATCACTGAGTCGTCGGGCAGGCTCTGTTCCTTTGGAGAAGCCACTTCATTGGAAATTTCCTCTGGAAGAAAGGGCCGTTCTTTCCATTTCTGCAAAAGGTATCAGCAACGCTTGATGTCAAACCAGTCCTGATTGGCTCTGTTGGTTAGCAATCATTAAAAAGAAATGGGAAGCTTTCCCTTCCCTTTCAAAGGCAAGGAATATTTAAAGCTTCCCATTTCTCAAAATCATAAATCCCAAAAGAGAGTTGAGGAAGTCTCCAATTAAGCAGCTCCTCCGGAGGGAAAACCTTAATGATACTGAGAAATCTTCCTTTTAAAAAGAAACAATGCTTCCATTTGAAGTGAAAGGTCTTGATCATGCTAAACGAAGTTGCTTGTGGTGCAGTGTGGTTTCTTGACCCAAAAACCACACACCTCTGACTGGCATTATCTTACTTAGCATGGATCCAATTTGGCTGTCTAGCAAAGTCCTTTGGAGAACAAGCTTCCAGAACCCTAATATACATTAAGGAGTCTTCCTTATCTCAGTCTTTTTCCATTCTTCAATTGTGTTCTCAGTCTAGCTGAGCCAGTCAGGAGCAGAAGCAACAGCGACACGCTAAACTCCTGAGAAGCTAGCAAAGAGAGTTGCCAGGCCCCTCCCTTCTATGAAGGATCTTCACAAACTTGTAGTGAGCAATTGTAATCTGCTTATGCGCCACTTTTATTGCAGCAACTTGATCAAAATACCCCTTCTCTAAGTAACACAAAAACATCATTTCCCCCATCATTTGAAATGTGGATGGGATGATTTCTCAGGAAATGTCTTATTTTTAGTGATTTGGGGCAATTCTGATGAAACTGTCCCCATATCCACGCAATTTCATGTCACCCCCTAGAATGATTCTGGCTTTTGATCCCTGCTCTCACCCACCTTTTTAAAAAATTACTTGTTATTTTGCTTTCCTAAATTTGTCCAGCACAGGAATCAGTCAAGTTCAAGCGGTTAAGAACTTCTTGGGTGGGAAGTTCTCAGTTTTATCACTAATCCATTAATAACCAATGATGTTGCAATGACGAGCAATAAGACACTCCAAGGCAGGCCTTTCACGCAAGTCACTTACTGGCATCTATCTCAGATCCATTCCTCCTCTTGTCCTGGAGTGATCCCTCAAAGTTCATATTATTAAAAATGAGGCAGCATCCCCTGTGTGGCCCATCCATTTTATAGAGAGCTGACTTCTGCGGATTGAGCAGGGAGTAGATGGGTTAGGTGGCACTGTCTTATAAAAAACTTTTTAAATTAGGCATTCAATTCCAGGCTGGGGAAATACGGAAACATTTTATGCTTAAGAGTCTTACCACAATGTCAACTTCTTTTGTTTAACCCTTTGCTGCCCCCCAAATTATAAGAGTGGTGTTTTGTTCACAACCACCTTCCAGTTCCCCAGCTAGAAAACCAACTGGAAGACTAGAGGAGCCACTGACGGATCAGACCCAAGGCCAGTCCGGTTCAGTATCTGAATTCTGAGAGTGGCCAGGAAAGTGCCTTAAGCCAACATTCTTTCATGCTTCTCAGAAACAACCCTGACAAGGCTGTTTGTCCCTAAGCAGCTGTTCTTCAGAGGACACTGTCAGGGGTGACTCTCTTAGGGCTCCTTTGTCCAGTAAACAGGGCAAATATGGAAATGGGCAGGATTTCCTAGGGCTCTAGCAACCCACCCCAGTCCATAAACCCACTCACCCCCATTTTTCAGAAGTACTTCTGGCACAAACCCATTCCGGTCACTCTAGGAACAAGGCTAGAAGTGGACGTTTTACACACCGAACACAATGCTGTAAAGGGGTTACACTTAAGACTTATGGGCTGGTTAAAATAATGTTTACTAAATTAAATCTAAGCAGAATTTAGTTGCCAATTTCTTGAGCTTAGGCCATGTGAAGGCAAAATTGCTATCTGGTGTTTCTGGGATGTTCAAGAATTCCTTTGGAAGATGCCAAACCTCTAGTTTGCATTCATGGTTTCCCGGAGGCTGTTGCAAGCTGCGTTCAGAGGTGTCAAACATGTTTCCTGCTTTGACATCTATAAAACAGTCATAAACAAATGGGAACTTGAGAAATCATAGTCTGTAGTCGTACATTTATTTTAAAATATTTTTATATCACCCCATTACCTAAAGATCTCAGGGCAAAGCACCAACAATACTAATTTTTTAGACAAAAGCAATAGCACTCCCATTTTGAAAAAGCTAAAATCACTTCGTATCTTTCTTTCCTAATAAATAAGAACTTTAATTAAATATATTTCTGGGAAATTTTCTTTACTGATGGGTAGACAGCCTCTCATTTACCAAAAATACACATAAAGGAATGAGAATGGCTATTGAATTTACAGCTCATATGGTAACAGAAGATGAGAACAGTCACAATGTTCACAAACAGCTCATTTAACTTCCTTTGGCTAATTAACAGATCAGGTTCCAAGGTACACCTCAGTCATGTTGTCTGGTTCTGTGCCCAACTGCACAACCATGATGGGCCCCCGGGAGTTTATCTAACAGCCACAATTAACAGTGACAAATTAAGCTTTATGTAAATACTATCACGATTCTAGCCAATTATTTGTTTAAGAAATATGCACTTAGGCTACAGCAGTCCCTAAGAGCAGAATCACTAAAGTTCTGTATTATCTGTTCCACTACAGATGTGTTTAGATGTGACAGCAGAATCACTGTTCCACTACAGATGTGTTTAGATGTGATTTAATCCCCCCCCCAATTTATGCAGTAACCCTTGACATTTCTGGGGGAAGACATCCAAGGACCACCCCCGGATGCTGAAATACAAGAATATGAGCCTTAAGAGAACACAGGACCTGTCCTGCTAACCAAAGCCAAATCAATAATTTTCTTTAACATTCTGAACAAGGGGCACAAAACAAGAGTGTTTACCCAGCTACTGGTTAGCCTGTGACGACTGGTTCTTGGAGTAAGCAAACAAAACACAAAATAGAACCCTTTTTAAAAAAAAACTTCCCCAGTCCTCCCTTTTGCTTTCATAACTAAACATTTTAAAATTATAAAAGTCAGCATGCACAGAAAAACATCAGAACAAACCTTGATTTCCAGGTAGAGAATGCATAATGTGCTCCTGTACATTTAGGTTCTGAAATTCACCATGGTAAGAACCTATTTAGAAGGAATAACAGAATTAACAAAAATTGTCCCCCTATATTTGTCAATAAATTTCACTGTCTGTCTTAATAGCAGGACATAGATCAGATCCTGGCCATGTTTGCACATAACACTAAAAGGACTCTTGAAAGGCCCCTCTAGTTTCTTTTTTACAGCAACAGAGAATCACTGCTCTGAAGTGCTGCCAACAACTGGTGGCAGTTTCTCTCTGATTTAAGCAGATCTACAAACCTGTTAAAAGCAAGATTACATGCTTTACACATTTTTATGAATTGTGCTTCTTTAACAGAGGGAAATATAAGATTGAATTACTTTATTTGCTCTGAGTTTCCCTTAATCTATTGCTGTACTTCCTTGTTGGGTTAGTTTCTTGACAACAAGAGATACTGAAATTTAATTCCCATATGCTAGCCTTGCTAATCAGTGATTTCCAGGAATCAGAGCTGTGATTCTCTGATGCCGGTTTCTCATTCACTTAACTTTTCATAGAATCGTAGAGTAATTGAGTTGGAAGAGGCCTATAATATCATTGAGTCCAAACCCTCTGCTCAAGGCAGGAATCCAAATCAAAGCAGATCTGACAGAGGGTTGTCCAATTTTCTCTTGAACGCCTCCAGTGTTGGAGCACTCACCACCTCCTGAGGTAATTTGTTCCATTGTTGTACTGCTCTAACAGTTAGGAAGTTTTTTTTCTTGAAATTCAGCTGAGGTCTGGCTTCCTGTAGCTTGAGCCCATGGTCCATGATTACATTTAGATAATGCACCAACTTCCTTTCCTTCCTTTCCTACCTACCTACCAACAAGCAAACACACAGGCCTCCTTGGGTGTTCCATGCCCCCTAGGAGAGCTGTTTTCAGGTTCCTGACACATCTGAAAAAATGGCACTCAGTCTCTCTAGGGTTGCCCACCTGTTCTTGGGCAACAGGCCACAGCCTGAAACCACAGCTTGCAGCTAAGCTACCTTACAAATCTTAACATGTGCTAATCAGAGTTTGTTGTTCTTTTCCGAACTGTATTCTGGATTTATTCCTTGTTTGCCTGAACATCGTGCACTGGGCACTTGCCAGAGACTTAAGTCAAGCGAGGAAAGAAAACTGAAACCATTCCATCAGCGAAGCGACGCTCTGTGGCCTTTCTCCAGATGTGAAGTGCTCTTCTTCCTCACAGGGCCTGACAAGAGCCCCCGGGTCTCCCCCTCTCCCAACCCCGTTAACCAGTCCTCCCTCCTTTCAAGCCACCCTCCCCTGCCTGCGGCTGCATTGCCACCTTGGGTCCCTATTAAGGGAAAGATGGGATAAAATTTCATTTAAAATTTAAATAATAAAATAGTTTTTTTTTTTAAAGTGGTGTGAAGGAAGACAGGAGAAGCGGCAGATCCTGCTTCCCTTCCTCGGGTACTCCTTTTAGCATAAAAACGCAAATCCACACCCCTGCATTATAGCCAATATATAACCACACATTTAATAAACAAAACAACATCGGACTTGGCTCTCCGTTGTGTAGCCAGTGCCACAACCTCAGAAGTGCCTGAGAAGATATATGCAAACACAGCTACGCTTGCGAAAGGAGAGGAATGGTTTGGTTCCAGTGAATTTGGTAGAACAGAGCCTAATCAAAATCAGACACCTGCTCTTTCTTTGTATCTATTCACATTCTTCAGGAGATCGGGTGATATTTTTTCACAGAGTCTTTCCAACATCTCCAAGTTGTTTGTACCCAGGAGGTCTTGTTTCTCTAAGGAAGTCAACAGTTCCAGAGCAGACTAGGAGAGAGGAGGAGGGAAAAGCAAGAGTTCATGTCCTTTGTTCACACTTTTCCGCATTTTTAGAAAGGCTTCATCCACAAGCAAAAGCCACACATGCTTGTTCTGCTCCTCACCCCATTCAACTGAAGAAATTATTAATGAGACTAAGACGACTGGCAAACCCAACCACCCATCCACCCCTCTCTCTCTAAAAATGCTGAGCGCTTCATTTCTTTTGTGCAATTTCAGAGGTGCTGCCTCTGCCTACATAATGAACCTACATAATCCCTAACCTCAACATTAGAGGCCATGCTCCCCAGAAGATACTAATTCCTACCAGAACTTGGAAAAGTTACTTTTTGGGGTTTTGGCTCCCGATCCATTGGACACATTGGCTGGGCAATACTTGAAGTGATCAGGGGCCTTTTTTTTGTTTCTGTTTTGTGTAGAGTTTGGTTACAACTGGTGTTGGTGCTAAGAACAGGGCCGTTCTCAATGCCAAGAAAAGAGCAACTCCTTTATTCATTCATTCTTTATTTATTCATTCTATCTTGCTTTTCACAACAGGAGTTAGACCATTCTATTATTCTTCCTATCTCCTCTCTGGTGTTTGTTTCTTTCATCTGTTTGATATGATGTGAATCATATTATACTGTGGCATTTTTATGGTTTAATGCCTTTCTTTCAAGGAGACCACCTCAATAGAGACGGGCCTATTTTTAAAGATTGGTCAACCTTCTCTGAAGAACTTATCCAGTAAAACCGCGTCCATTTCAACCAACCTGAAATATTTTTTACAGTCCTTATACTTTACTCACTGCAGGAGACAGCTTCTTTGGAAGGTGTTCCCTCAGAAGGAATGTGGCAATCCTCACATTCTCTTCAGTAAACTGTTCAGATATGTAATACAGCATCTCTCTGTGTGAAAAGTCAGGTAAAATAAGTTTACAACGTTTGGGAGAGTGGACAGAGTATGGTTCCCCAGGCTGTGCATTCCCCCCAGGGAGTCCAAAATTACACAAAACAAGATTTTGGAAAAGTGTATAGTTGTGGCTTACAAAAGACAAAAGCAGCAGGAAATCCCCCCCCCCAATCATCTATATTGACTACTTCTGGTTAAAGCATTCTATAGCCTCCCTACACCCCCACCCACCACCACAGCTACTTAAACCTCCACTAATGTAAAGCAGAATGTCTGACAGAATTCATTCAGGCACAAATTCTAGCTCTCCTTCCAATCAGGAAACCTTTGATCCTCCGGACATTCCAGACTAGGATTCCCATAATCCACTATCCTTAGCCATGCTGGATGAAGCTGCAGGGAGCTGCAGGACCAACGACTTGGAGAGCCAAAGTTTCCCTAACCCTTGTTAGTCCCTCTAAGCTGTCACGAGGAAGGATGGGATGCAAATGATACGAAACGAGCCCTTTAAGAAAATGAAGACGAACATTTAGCATGCCCTATTCCCACCAAAAGGTCATACATGAAACCATACATTCCACGCAGAAGGAACCTCTGGCCATGGAAGGCAGACTCACCGATACTCAGACACCATCCTTCTCTGAGGAAGCTTGTTCTGAACATCCTCTTTGGTAAAGCCAAGGATATGCAGCAGAGAGTTGTGCTTAATTAGGTAGAGAAGCTCTGCGATGAGAAACATGTCCTCCTTATTGACTAAGTCTTTACTGATGAGCAGCTCAAAAATGTCCTGTGCCGACATCACTGTTTCTAGCCTTTTAAAGGCAATTAAATCACTGCAGAGAAATTTCAGAGCATCCACATCGTCCTTCCCAAGATTGGCATCAACTTCGAGAAGCTGCGAGCGGAACTTCAGGCTATCTTCCTCCTCCATGACGTCAGCGCTTCCTCAACACTAAACTTACTAAAAGGGGGAACAGAAACAGGTATTGAACAGTGGTGGGCATGTGGCTCTACAAACAGCATTCAGGATAAATTATATTTTGACTACAAGTCCCAGAAGCCCCACCCCACCCATCCCCGGTCACAACACCCAGTAGCCAAACAGGCTGAAGCATTCCAGGAATGATCGTCCAAAAAGAGTCACTTTTCCAAGCTCTGGTTAAAGCAGACACACATAGCAAGGACTGGGAATAAGTTAGCATCAGGAACATCAGTCATACTCGGCAGGAACCACAGCCACTAGTGCATGATAAATTATTTTGCCAGAACCAAAGTGAAGGTAACTACTGTAAACCAGGAAATGATCTAACAAGGAGAAAGGGGGGCGGGACCATCACACCCACCCACACCCCAAACTGTCATTTATTTCTTCAAGGTGAGAACTCTGCAGACACACAGAACATGTTTGTAAGGATTCTGATGTCTGCTTGGATATCAGCTTATATTTGAGGCTTGGGGTACTGGGTAGCCACATGGAGGACGAACACTGCATTTTGCCCACTCCAGCTTAGAACTACTGAACCCCCTTTTCTCCACCTTTATTCACTACATTGTTTTAGTAGTGCTACTTGGAAGTGCCTCTGCAACCAACGCTCGCTCTTTCTTTCCTAAGACATGTTGGAGGGTGTAAAAACAACCAGCACAGAATACACCTGCCACCACTGGTGCCCCTGATTTGTACTCCTATCTGGAACTGCCTTTTTATGTAATCTCCTTTAAAACATTTAACCCTACCTTGGTGCTTTAAAAAGCAATCTTCTAGGACAGTTAATACCAGTAAGGTCAGACATAACCCACAAGTATCCTACAGAATCCAACAATGACTTAAAGGAGCAAGGAACTGGAATAGCAGGCTGTGAGGAAGAGTCAGAGAGTGAGACGTCCCCTCAGACATCTAAAGTAGAGAAAGCAAGGGAAACACTGGAGGCAGAATGGGAAACAAGAAAAAGACAAGGGATACAGCAAGAGGCAGAACAAGAGGCAGAGTCGCGCACCGGAGAAAAGAAAGAGGTTCGCGCGGAAGAGATAGGGTTGGCGCGTGACAGTGGAAGCCGCGAGGAAGAAGGACAGTTAGTTCGGTTAGAAATGACTTAGAGAGAGGAGTTAGGAACCATGAGGGAGAAGATCGACATATTTCTAACTAACGAAGAAAGGGGTGAAACTAGAGACACTGAGAAAGTAACAGTGTTTAAAGAAAACGTGTGGGAGAGAGACTTGATAAAGGTGTCCAAGTATTTTCGGTACCAAGGAAAAGAGCTGCAACCGAGATTGATGAGGAAGACAAAGAGAAGTTAGTCAAAGAGAAAGCAAGACCGATAATACCAGGTTTGAGCCCTGAAGAATGGACAGTCCTGGTTTATCCCAAGGGCAGGGGTCCGGAACGGATGGCACACCATCTAGATCCAGCCATGGAGAAAGAGAAGCCAGTACAGTAGAGAGAGAATGGGCCCGCCACCCTTGTTGCAGGACTCTGTGTGCGGTTCACAGCGGGTGCCTGAGGTTGCCAATCGAACAGGAGAAAAGACACCAATAATGAGAAGTCTCTCATGTGGTTCTGGGAATGTTCACCACGATTCTGTGTGCGGTTCGCAGTGGGTGCCTGAGGTTGCCAACCGAACAGAAGGCAGCAAAAACATATTATTAAATGAGAAGTCTCTCATGTGGTTCTGGGAATGTTCACCCCCGCAGTTATCGCTACATAGTTCTATGAAGTTAAATAAAGATGAAACTACAAGTTATGTTAATAAAAGTTCTTTTATTAATAACTCCGAGTCATCCTTTGTATTGCCAGAAGATGAACAGCCCAAGGTAAATCCCGAACCTGCTTACACAGACAGCCAATGAATTACGATTCGGCCAAGGGTCCTAGCAAAGCACAGGGCAACCCTAACCTCACATCTGGGAGAGGAAAACAGAGAGGGAAACTGGATCCTCCCACACCAAGGACACAGGAGAGGAAGTGAGTCTATCAGAGCGAACAGCCCAAGGTAAATCCTGAACCTGCTTACACAGACAGCCAGTGAATTACGATTCTGCCAAGGGTCCTAGCAAGGCACAGGGCAACCCTAACCTCACATTTGGGAGGAAAACAGAGAGGGGAACTGGATCCTCCCACACCAAAGACACAGGAGAGGAAGTGAGTCTATCAGAGAACATTTATGCAAAATGGATCCTCTGAAAGATACCAGGTTCAATGGTTCACCCTCATTTGTTACACTGCAACACATCTTACCAGTTCTTATTTTTTAAAAAGCACTCTGGGATATTATACCCCCTTAGCTTCCCCAGTTTGTACAGAATCGAGAAAAGCTCTCTAAATATGCACCTGATCCCTCAAAAGATGGCACCCTCTTTATATAACTCCCTCCCAGGTAATAGCAGACTTGCCTTCGGAGTCCTACTGTTTAAGCAAACAGTGAAGACATTAAGTAGTTAAACACCATAATATTGTGATGTTAATGATGCTTATATTTTCAATTACAAGCTTCCCTGTGATCTGGAATCAGGAGAATGGTGGAGTACGAAAGTATTTAATAAGTCAAAAGGAAAAAAAATTAAACTAATAAAGTAGTAAGCTTCCATCTAGTGTAGTCAGTTTCCTTAACCAAAGTACCTCCATCTTGTCTGGACAATGTCTCAGTTTCTTCATCCTCACCCTACCTACCTGCCTACCTATCTAATTTTTACCCTGCTTTTCTCCTAAGAAAGGACCCAAGGCAGCTTGCATAATTAAAAACACAATATTAAAATCTAAAAATACGACATTACTCAAATACTAAAAAATAATTAATAACATATTAAAGGTGTTAGGTAAATATATTACTGAACACAGATTTTGGAGCAACAAAATGCAAACCATTTCATTTTAAATCTTCTCCTAAAGGAAAGCCTTCCTGAAGAGAAAGGTCTTTGCCCGCTTGCAGAAGGACACCAAAGATGGGCCTA